CTCTCTCTCCGCCTCAAAAATAAATAAATATTAAAAAAAAAAAAAGGAGATAGGGGACTGCTTAGTAAAAGGGCATGAGAATAAATGGAGAAAAAGGCCCAAGATCAATGCTGGAAGAGCCCATCTAGGAGAGGGAAAAGAAGAGGCAGTCAGGACTGGCTGGGTCAATTCCAACAAACAAAGTGTCAATCAGTCCATCTGTCCTTGACAAGATGATCCTACAACTGCGGAGAGGCCCCTCTTGTGGTCATTGTAACTATTTCAGATCTGGTTCCAGGCTCAGGAAAGGCTCCCCCAAGACTATGGTGACCCAGGAGGCATGTACAAGGAGAAAGAGCACCAGTGTACAGACTAGAAGAGTCTAGGCCACTTGGTACTCTCTGAGCTTTGTGAAGAGGAGAGTTTAGAGCCCCTAAGGTGGAAGCCTCTCTAGATCTGCAGAACTGAAGACGAGACCCAGAAATGTATCGACTAGTAGCCACTAGTATCTCCTCGGGAGCCCAGCACCCAGCAGGCCACTCTTCTTTCCGTACTGTGCTCTGGACCATCACCCCATTTTGCTTTTAAGGAAGCTTTACAGCTTCTCAGCAGTATAATGATTCTAAGCAAGACAGAAGGTCACACAGGTAAAGTTTCATTTCAAATACACTCTCCCAGACCATCTAGATACAGGGCAATGCTCATTAAGGTAATATTTGTTTCTTAAAATAGTATTTCTCATGCTAAAAGATAATATATTGTCATGATAATTAAAAATCTTAACAACTGTTTACACTACTAAATTATTAAGCTATGGTTAATACTGAAACAGTAACTTTTTCAAAGGATAAATTAGTCAATATAATAGCTTACTAGGCTACTTCTTAAAAGGAATACTGTATCCAAATTCTTATAAAAGCTCAGTTTATTTTAATGGTATTTGAATGAACTGAAGAGTTCATGTCCTACTATAGTTGAAATAAAATGGGATTATGACAAATCTTAATACAATGGAAAAGTCTGTTTATCTGAATAAAATCTTGAAGAATTATTGATTTTCACACTTCAGGGCCTGGAGTATCAGAACAGAATATGTGATCCCAGATCAGCAGGACACATAAGAGGCCCTCAAGAAAGCTAGAGAAGGGAATCAAGGTTTATCTTCCTCACCACACTGCCCATGAGACTGGGTGGGAGCAGCAAGCCTCTGAGTAAGAAGTAAATTCTGGAGTGCCTGGGTGGCTCAGTCAGTTGAGCATCTGACTTTGGCTCAGGTCATGATCTCACTGCTCGTGGGTTGGAGCCCCACGTCAGGCTCTGTTCTTGACAGCTCGGAGCCTGGAGCCTGCTTCGGATTCTGGGTCTCCCTCTCTCTCAGCCCATCCCCCCATTCACAATGTGTCTCTCTCTCAAAAATAAATAAGCATTTAAAAAAGAAGAAGAAGAGGAAGAAGAGGAAGAGGAGGAGGAAGGAGAAGGAGGAGGAGGAGGAGGAGGAGGAGGAGAAGGAGAAGGAGAAGGAGAAGAAGTGGGTAACTGAAGGAGGACTCCTGGCATCACACAGACTTAGAAGTGCCTGGTAATTACTAAAAGTAAAGCTTGCCCGTCCTGAGAGGAGGATGGGGGTGGATGAGACTGAAAAGAAAGGAGGCAAGAATACAGCTGTCTGTGGAGAGCCAGAGAAGGAGCACCTACCATCCAGCTCCTTCTCAATGGAGTCCATCCTATGTGTGACTTCATCCTGAAGAGATTCCACGTGGGTCAGCAGGTTAAATTGCCACTGGTGCTGGGAGCTGAGCAGCCCCTCTCCGCCTCTGTCCAGCAGCTTACGAGCAGGGGCTTCCTCGGGTAGGACCTTTTTGGAGACATATTCCCTCACCTAGGAATGCAACAGCATTTAAGTTACTGAGTGGAGACAGCTCCCAGCCCCTTCTCAAACAGCCAGTGTTTACAACCATCTGAAAAACCAGTTGCAGTTTGAATATTCCAAACCTCTATCTCCCCCTCCTCCTGTCTTGGATACTAGGCAGAAGCATGTACTAACTGCAAACAATGAAAGGCAGCACAGGCCTCCTAGCAGTGATTGGCCCAATGTGCCAGGCCTGAAATAAGCCTCACAGAATGGCTTCTAGAGCCCTAAGGTCAGAGGAGAGCAGGGTGGATGCAGACAGGTATGTTAGTTGGCAGGAGTCAGACAAAGTAGTTTTAAGTCCTCGTTCCATGTCCTGCTGAATGTGAGAGCCTGGATTAGTTCTTTTTTCCTTTCTGAGCCTCTGCTCCCTTACAAGAAAGATGAAAGTAGTAAAACCTATTTTAAAGGTTCATGAGGATGAAACAGGGTAAGGTTTACAAAACACAGTGCTGGCTTAAGGTCGGCCTGCCATCAATGAAAGAGATTTTTAATCTTAGTTGTCCTGTTTAGGCCGGGTATTTTCTAATTTTTTATTATGTGGCAGATATCTCTAGGAAATCTGCCTAGTCTGCAGGATCACAAACCTTTTCTGGGGTTTCATTCATACATTCATACATACATACATACATACATACGAAATGAAATAGAGCCTAGCTAATATTTATTTAGAGCTGACTACACAAAGCTTTGTGCTGAGGGCTTTTCACAGATACACTGCACAGTAACAGAAAGGACACGTCACTAGACCCTCCTACAGGTAGGTGAAAAGACACATAAAGTGACCCACTCAGCATCACACAGTAAGTGGCTAAACTTAGACTTGAAACTACATCTCACCAGCCTTGCCAAGCACTGTTTAGACATTGCCAAGGGCATAGGCTGAATGAGGTACAATGCCTGTCTTTGAGGAGCTTATAATCTAGGATGTCACACTTGGCAATATGTAGCAACCATTTAATGCTGGTGATGCCAACCACAGGGTAAAGTCTGAAAGGAAGGAAAACAGCGATGGAGAAACTCTCCAACTACACACAAAGCCTCACTGACCAACTGAGGACAGGACAGAATAACACCAGTGAACAGTTAAAGATGACAACATGGGGAGGGCAATGACATAAAGAGGCTCTAGAAGACCGTGACTTGAAGAACGAAAAACTGAGAGATGTTCTTGGGAAAGATGATGAAAGCAGCAAATATTGACAAAATGGACTGTTCTTACGTCAAGGCTGCAAAGTTAAAGGTCAAAGTAAAGCTATCACAGAATTATACTGAAAACCTTATACTTAACAAAACACTTGACTCATTCTTTGCTCATGCTAAGAATTAGCAGCAAGGTGCAAAAATAAAGTAAACCCTGTTAAGAAAAAAACTCATTTTCTTAACTTAATTCCATTTATCAAGTGCCAATCAACGCTTTTCTCCTTGCTTCTTCCCACCTCCCTACCCCCAAACTCCAGTGACCACGTCATTCTGTGGGCATTTCCTGGAACCAATGATCTTTGGCATACCTGGTCTCTCCTGACTTTGTACCCATTTTAACAGACCAAAAATATACCTACGATAAGCAAATTTAAATACAATTTTACAATAAAAACAATTTTATAATAAACCTCCCAAAGAACCCTAGGAGGGGTACTCAAGCACTCACACACTAAATTAAGAACAAGTACAAGTGAGCCACATACCTTTAGGGAGCTAGATTTGGAGTCACTGTCCCCCCTACTCCTGTCCTGGTCTAGAGGCCAGCCCAGACGCGGAGAAAGAGAATCATCACCGTTCTCACGGAGGGGGTTAACTGCATCGTCAAGGGCAGAGCCGCGGGTTTCCACCACCAGCTTCTGCTCCACAGCAGGGTAATAGGCGCGGGGCTTCTGATAGCAGTGCTCGCTGGTGATGTAGGACTCCTCCACAGACCGGGGTAGGGGAAGGGGCAAGGGCTTCTCCACCGCCCCATTCAAAGTTCTATAGCTTGGGACTTCCTCCTTGCTCTTGGCTTCAGCGATGTGGATGTGTTTGGAATGAGGTCTACCCTCCCCTGAGTGCTGTTTCCAAGGCTGACACCACAGCTGCAGATCAGGATGCTGCCTGCTTCTGTTGGGAGGGAAACACAGAAAGGGCTCTAGAGTACCTGGGATCACTGCAGGGGCTTCTCCCAATAGGAAGAGGAGTTTCCACTCGGGCCATCTGGCCACAGGCCACCATTTGCCAAGCAAAAGGGAACATAAATCCATGGTCTCTGAGGAGACCACCTGCAGGCAAGCTCCCACTGTGGACACTCACAGTGAGTAAGACTGGACTTGGAGTCAGAAGACCTGACTAGATTTCTATTCAGCCACTGATTAACAGTGCAGCTGGGATAAGTCACTCAATCAGACTCATTCCCATTCCCTCTGCAGAACTAGACTAGCCACCTGTCTGCCATTAGCCACTGAATTTGATAAAGATTAAGTGAATTAACTCAAATAAAAGTACTTTGTTGGCATCAAAGTACTCTTCAAATGTGAGTTACTAAAAATAACCTTAACTTATTAATAAGCAGGCATGATAACCTGGCATGCAATAGCACTCAGTTACAAAAAAGCACTGATGATGGGGCAAGGGGATGGGAAACCAAGTCATCTACATGGAAGCTGTTAATAACAAAGTTTTTAAAAATTCTTTTAAAATCCTTTATTCTCACAATTCCAAGGAGCAAACCTTGTTATTAAAGAACAGGGTTTCTGGGGTGCCCGGGTGGCTCAGTCAGTTAAGTGTCCAACTTTGGCTCAGGTCATGATCTTGCAGTTCATGAGTTTGAGCCCCGCGTCAGCTCTGTGCTGACAGCTCAGAGCCTGGAACCTGCTTCAGGTTCTGTGTCTCCTTCTCTCTCTAACCCTTCCCCCACTCACTCTCCGTATTCTCTCAAAAATAAGTAAATATTAGAAAGAAAGAATGAATGAATGAACAGGGATTCTGATCCTTTTTTGAGCCACACATCCGTTTGAGAATCTGCTGAAAGCACATATATGTATGTGCACCTAAACTCTATGCTACACTTTAGTCTTCCAGAATCATTCACTGTTTGAGTTTTGACTAAATAGAGGGTCATTAAATTAATCTGTTGGATTGTAATCCATTGTAGTGCTTCACAAATTTATACATCATCCTTGCGCAGGGTCCACACTAATCTTCTCTGTATGGTGCTAATTTTAGTCTACATGCTGCCGAAGCAAGCACTATAATCAATTGTAGAAAAAAGAAAAACAGAATAGAAAAATATCAGAGTGTATCATTCTAAGTAAGAATAGCTGTCTTGTGAAATTTTAGTTTCAATTTTATACATCTGAGTAATATAAAATGTATTGTGGGATGCACATTTTAAGCTTAAAAGCCACTACTCGGGCTAAACTTCACTTTTTAACTCTTTTTTACTATCCAAAACTTCTATTATTACCCTTGATCATTAAATGAAAAGAAGGAAGAAAAGGAAAAAAAAAAAAAGAAGGGAGGGAGAGAAGGAAAACACGATGGTGGACTTCTTGAATGAGACCCATCAGTTCCTAGAGCTCCTGGCTAGAAGGGCACTGCCAAAGATACAGACAGGTACTACCTACTCCTATTTGGTTCAGAGATGGACAGATATGTAAAGTGACCTTTCTAATTGTCACAATGAATGACAGGTACTACTGACATTTATTTCATTGAATCCAAGGATGCCTAACATCCTATAATGCTTGGAACAATCCTGATTGGGATAAAGAAGAATTGTCCCACAATATAGTCAACAGTGCCTTCCCAGCCCCCAAATGAAAAACACTGAACCCAGATAAGCAAGAAATCAGACTTAACTCCTCAGCAACTCCACATACAGGTACTCCTCCACACACACTTGACTGAAGCCCTCCTGCACAAATGGAATAGGCTGTGCATATGAAAGCATGGAGTGATCTTACAGAACCTAACATTCTGTTCCCAAGAAGCTACAACTAACCTCTCTCAACCTCTGCCACTCCAGCAATCACCAACACCCCTTCTATCCACTGAGGAAGGAGAGGAAATGACGAAAGTATCAAGGCAGGCTCAGTCCCTGGATCGCCCCCAGCAGGGTATCATAGTCTGTACCATGTGTATATAGACATACTGGGACCAGGATCTTTTCTCCACATATAATGATGAACAAGATCTCCCTATACCCTCTTCTGATTCCTAAGAGAGAAGTCAGATTTAATTCCAGTACAAAGTCACTGCTATAAAGATGAAGGATCTAGGGGGCACCTGGCTGGCTCAGTCAGTGGAACACGCGATGTTGTGTATAGAGGTTACTTAAAATTTTTTTAATGTTTTTTTTGTGTGTGTGTGTGGTTTTTTTTTTTCCCCTGAGAAAGAGAGAGACAACATGAGCAGGGGAGGGTCACAGAGAGAGGGAGACACAGAATCTGGAACAGGTTCCAGGCTCTGAGCTAGTAGTCAGCACAAAGCCCAACGTGGGGCTCGAACCCATGAACCACGACATCATGACCTGAGCCGAAGTCGGACGCTTAACCGACTGAGCCACTAAACTTTTTTTTTTTTTTAAAGATGAAGGATCTAAACAGGGATTTGGAAGGGAGAAGGTTCCAGAATATGGGATGGGACCAGGAGCAATGGCATTTAGTAAGAAGAAAGAGAACACCATCTGATTAAATACTCAAATGAAAAGAAAATATGACAAAGTTTACAATCATGAACATCACCTGAGGCTTTCCAGGGCCTCACATGGACCACATTCTACCTGTCTCAATTTCTGGCATATCATTAAGAAGAAATTAATTTGGTATATAAGGGGTAAAGTTTTCTGGTTTTATAAAATGTGAGGGAAAAGCTTGTCTCTGACATCTTATCCAGGGCTGTCAATTGATTCAGTTCACCTCAACAGATACTGTCACAATGACAGCTCATTTCCCCCAGCAACTACATTCCCCTTCTCTTAACCCCACCTCCATCCTCACTCCTGGGTTCAAACAGAGCATATAGGTAGCCTTCCCTGCAGTTAGATGTGTCCATGAAAACTGCCTGCTCTCTCCTGTTTCTCTTTTCCCCCCGTCCTGGGGGCTGGAACAGCTGAGGTACAGGTGAGGCTGTTTCAAACATGCAGGTGAGAAGAACCCAAACGGAATTCCAGGGCAATAAGACAGAAGGAACCCAAGTCCCCAGATCCACAGATGGAATCCTGGAAAAAGGCCATCTACCTGGTCTGGACCCCTGCCTACTCTTGGACCGTTCATTATGTGGGAAAGAAAATTCCATTTTGTTTTAGCTTCTATTTGGGGGATCTCTGTTACAGAACCTTAGCTTTTACCCAAACCAATATATATCGGGTCTGAATGTGCCTTTGCTCAACTGCTCCTCTGTCATGCCAGTTCTTGAAGCTGGGCCTCTGAGCACCAGAATACAAGAGAAAGTTCTACCATCCCAGCACTCTGACACTCTGCCTGATGCTGAGGGCCCTCTGGGACTAATCTGCACAAAGGAAACCATGTTGGGGGGTGGCCTGTCATGTCTATCTCACTCATGGCACTAGTTTACCATTGTTGATGACTTAAGATGGTCCCCTGTGGACTGGCTCATGGGAGAACTTGAGAAATTTCTTGGCAAGAGAAGCTGTCCCTTACATAGACTGTGCTGATACTAGAAGAAAATGCATGGAACCACTGCAGAGACAGTTAGAAAGCTTAGGACAAGTACTTGACAGAAGCCAGGCCTGGAGTTCTAGATCTGACTCTACCACTGGAAATCATGGGAGAGCAGCTGCCCCATGCAAGTCCCCAGATGTCCTATTTGGTAAAGTGGGGGTAAGTTATCAAAGCTAACAGACCCATCAAGAGTGATATGTCTTTCTCAGAGCTTACATGAACGTGGGTCACATGACACACAGAATGCAACCACAGAAGCGAATTCACACTCAGTTTCTCACTTTTAGTAGCCAGAGGTCCAGTTCCAGAACACCTCAAACTTCTTTGCATGAGCAAACCATGAAGAGAAAATATTTGAGCATCCACTATGCTGGAGAGCAGGACTGCCAATGTGATCTCTTCCAGCAGCTTTCAATTTTACTTTGTTTACCAGTCAAGGGTTTTTAGGATGAATGGATAAACAAAATGCAGTATTACATACAAGAGAGTGTTATTCAGCCTTTAAGAAGGAAAAAAATTCTGATACAGGTTGTAATATAGATGAAATTTTGAAGAACTGTACAAAGTGAAATGAGCTACTGACAAAAAAAAAAGACAAATACTGTAGGATCCTATTTATATGAAGTACTAGTCAAATTCACAGACAGACAAAGTAGATTGATGGTCATCAAGGGCTGGGAAGAGGGAAAATGGAGAGGAGTTATTTAATAAATACAGTTTCATTTTTGCAAGATGAAGAGTTATAGAGATTGGTTTCAATAAGGTGAATGTACTTAACACTACTGAACTGGTATTAAAAAGTTAAGATGGTAAGTTTTATATTATGTATATTTTACCACAATAAAAAAAAAAAAATTCAGGGGGCACCTAGGTGGCTCAGTCGGTTGAGCATCCAACTTTGGCTCAGGTCATGATCTAATGGTTCATGAGTTCAAGCCCCACTTCAGGCTCTGTGCTGACAGCTCAGAGCTTGGAGCCTGCTTCAGATTCTGTGTCTCCCTCTCTCTCTGCACCCCTCCTCCTCATGTTCTGTCTCTGTCTCTCAAAAATAAATATACATTAAAACAACCTTTTTTTAAATTCAGCACTATACACCAAAGTAGTAATCAAACTAAACTACAGATACATACACCATGTTTTGATAATGGTGGTGGTTGCAAGGGCGTATACGTGTGTCAAAACTCAGTGAACTCTTAGGGAGCCTGGGTGGCTCAGTCCATTACTTCGAATCAGGTCACCATCTCCTAGTTTTTGAGTTCGAGTCTTGCTTTGAGCTCCCTGCTGTCAGCACAGAGCCCGCTTTGGATCCTCTGTCTCCCTCTCTCCCTGCCCCTGGCCTGCGTGCGTGCGTGCACACACACCTTCTCTCTCAAAAATGAACATTTTAAAAAAAGCCCTCAATGAATCCTTAAAATTAGCAAACTTAATTATATATAAATTATACCTGTATATGGTTGATTTTTTTTTTCAAAAAAGAAGGTTTATCGTGTAACTGAGATTTTTTAGTGAAGGTCTCAAACTCATTTGTCTCATCACTGATTTTGTGCCTTTCCAATTTCTCAAATTTATCCTGCCCCCTGATGATGCCAGATGTGACTCCTCCCCAAAGGTGCCACACTTACTGTAAGATGCTCATCTTGAGCTGCAGGCCATGCAGAACCTCGATCACTCTCTGCACATCTCCAAGAAGCTGGTGGGTGGCCACAATCTTCTTGGCATTCTGGTGGGAGTAGTTCTCTTCTAAGAATGCCAGGCCATGCATATGTCCCCTGCTCAACCACTCCTTGTCATACCAGTACTTGAAGCCAGGTCTCTGACCTAAAGCAGTGACAATGAGAGAGTTAATACGTGGCCTGATGGAAACCACTGCATCATTGCACAATCATCACATAAATTACTGGAAGGATGGATTGGTGTATTCATTTTATTCATTCATCCAATATACATTTACTTGGCACCTATACTACATGCTGGGCTCCTTACTAGGGGTTGGAGATAAGGTAGTAAGACATGAAAATTTCCTGAACTCCTAGAACTGGCCAGAGGTGGAGTGGGAAACTGGGCATCTCTTTAAATTTAAATCACATCATAACCTCTCCTACTTAAAACCTTCAATGACTTCCTACTACATACAGAAGAAAAGCCAAAGCCCTAACACTGGCCTAATGAGGCCTACAGCACCCAGCTCCTTCCTACCCTCCATGCCTCACCCTTACGGTAGCCTCCTTTCAGTTTCTGGAACATATCCCACTTTTCAGTCCTAGGATCTCTCCTCTAGCATCCTCTCCGTCTGGAGCACTATTCCTCAAGGCTTCTGCAGAATTGGCATCTTTCCACCTCTTCAGAGAGGCCTTTTGTTATCTTCCAAAGTTAGAGAGCCTCTTCAAATGCCTCCTACTCATTCCCTATCTGGTTGCTTCCTCCTCCCCACCTCCCTGCCCCTCCCCCACAAAGCATTCATCCCTATCTAACATCTTCTTGCTTATTTGACTTATTCTGATATTTGTTTCTGGCCCCAACTCCACTAAGAGCAAGAACAACAGGAAGCACCTTGTTCATAGTTGTATTCCCAGCATCTGGCAAAAGGCATCTTGGATGGATTATCAAATGGAAACAAGGTGCAAGACCCTCTTCCAACTGTCACATACCCTTACTAAACAGTCAGGCACTCTCCCTTCTCTGAGCCTCCATTTCCTATCTATTAAAGCAACATATGAATTGGATGGTTTTGGTGGTCTTGTTCATTACAGGGATCCTCAGAAAGAATTGAAAACACAACCATACATGACTTGGTGGTGTTTCCTGCTCCAAAAGCCAAGGGAACAGATTTCAACCACATAAGCATTTTATCTCCCACTATCTATAAAAACCCTGAAACAACCCATGTAACCCCTATCAAGGTCCTTGGGCTCTTTCTGGCTTTACTAAAACACACAGTAGGGATGTACCTCGATTCTCTTAAAAACACCTTTAAGTAACCTTTAAAGAATAAATCTGTTAGGTTAAACTCCTGGCCCAAGACACTGCAGAGTCAAACACAGTCTATAAATATAAAAGACATGAAGCACTCAATTCAAGGAGGAGTCTATTTGCAGTGCTGGCAATTAGAGTTGTAAAAGTTCAGGAAGTGCAGAGGAGTTGATGAAGATGGTGTGTATGATTTGTAAAAAGGGAAAAATGGAGGGAAGGAGTGAGAGACAATACAGTAGACAAAAGAGATTTGTAAATGGTGCCAAGGAGCCCCAGGGATTATATGTGGTATCTCAGAGGGAGCTGCTGTATGAGGGGCCTGAGCAGCAGGATTCAGAGCAATAACACCTGTTTCACAAGACAAAGGTCAAGGCAGTGGTTCTTCTCTCCTATCTTGCACTAACTGGCTTGACTGATCTTGGCCCCTTTATGTCCCTTCTGGGCCTATATTTGCTCACCTATCAAATATCATGGCTGAATTGAGTGGTCTCTGATATCCTGCCCATCGATAATATTCTATGATTCACAGACTAATCTTCTGACCATATTCTTTCCTCGGGAAAGAGCAACAAGCAGCCAGATTCCCCTCCATCTATAGACTCATCCAGCACAAGGAGATACAGTATCATGACTGAGGTCATCAGGTGCCAAGGGGACACACTTGCTAGAAAACAAACTTTGGTGACTAGACCCTCCCTACAAAACCAGCCAAATCAAGATTTGGCCCCACATGCCAATTCTAATTCCAATTTTCTTTATGAGACTGGAAAAGTCATTCATGTCCCTAGGCAACAATTTCTTCCTCACAAGGGAAAACAGGAATAGAAGCTCCTACCAGACCCATCTCACAGGACTAATAGAATCAACAGAAGTAGAGGCTCTTGAACACTGTCTAGCTTTATAAGGGCATCATGGGACGAGAGCCAAGGGGAGAAACCTTACCAGTGGTGAAGGGAGAAGATGTAACTACTCCACTGACAGCAAGTCAAGAACTTCTGAAAAGGGGCAGCCAAGAGCCACCAGCCAGCCATGAGGCCATGAACAATGAAACTAACTGATCCTGCTAAGGAATTAATTCACTATTTTGAGTAGCAGTCAAACTCTACCAACTATATACCTTTACCCTTCCCCTCAAGGGCAGCTCTCTCTTCCAGGTGATGCAATGGAGGGCAGGTGCCACCAGAGGGTGCAGAGGCATATTCCTAACCTCCAACAGCCCCAAAAAGCCAAAGACAGAGGCCACCTCTTCATGAACCCTCAATAAAAGGTGCTTGCTCCAGCAGCACATATTCTAAAACTGGCACAATACAGAGAAGATTCGCACGGCCCCTAAACAAGGATGACACGCAAATCTGTAAAGCATTTCATAGTTTATAGAGAGTTTCAGTCATGCAAGATGAAAAAGTTCTAGAGATCTGCTGTACAACACTGTGCTTACAGTTTATAAACAATACTGTACTACTGTATAATTAAAAATTTGTTCAGAGGGTAGATCTCATATTATACGATTTTTATCACAATAAAAAATAATTCTAGCTCCAGGCCAGGCCTTCCACAGGCTTCACACATACTCTCTCACTGCTAAGTTTGGGAGAGCAGGCTACCAGGTGAGCTAGCAGCAGGGGCAAGGAGGAGTCAGACTGGCCAATGTTGAAGAAATGAGTCTCAAGACCACAGACAGGCTGCTTCACGGCCAGCTGTGGAAAAGGCTACATATCGTTAATAACCCTGACTCCAGAAATCTCTACCTGGAGGGTCTTGGCAAACATAACAGGTGTATTTCTCTGGCACATTTTCTTCCAGTAATCCCATGCAGACCCCATGCTGCCAGCACTGGCACTCTTCACACTGTTAGAATTAAAGAAGCAATAAAAATTAAACTCAGAAGGTATCCTCTATCCAAAAATAAGATCCACTATGAGGGGAGGGGCAGTGGGAAGGAGAAGGAGAGGGGAAGGAGAACACTCCCAAATGACTACTCAGCAGCTGAGCTGCAACCCCTCATCTACAGCTGTGCTGGCCACTACGATGGCAGCCAGAGGCCACCTATGGCTCTTTACACTTAAATTAACAAATTAAGTTCAAATTCAGTTCCTTGGTTCTATTAGCCACATTTTAAGTGCTCAAGAGCCACATGAAGCTAGTGGCTTTTATACCACACAGCACAGATGAAGATCATTTAGATCCATAAAACAGTGCTGATCTTAGAAAAATGATTGTTTTCATTCCATTTCTAGAGGCTTTCACTTTTCTGATAGCTTTATGAAAACAGAGGGAAAACTGTTCAAGTCCTTAGAGGAAGATTTAACTTGGAATGTCAAAAACCTAAATTTGAATTCTAGCTCAGACATTCATTAGCTGTATGACCTTGCATAGGTCACTTCTCCTCCTGGGGCTTCAGTTTTCTCCATTTACAAAACGGGGTACTATTCCTACTGACCATGTGGAGCTGTTTGTGAGGAATCATCCAGTCATATATATAACAGTTCCCATCACAGAGCCCAGCACGCAGCCTTTATGTATTAGGCACCTATTACAACTACTAATGGACAACCTAATTTACTTTGATAGCTCCTGGAGTAATCACATGTTAGCACTTAAAGTTTATTCTCTCTAAATCTTACCAAAGGTCACACAGCTGAAGAGAAGCAATGGCGGGTCAGAACACAGGCCTGGCTAATAGCAAAGCTAGTTTTACCCCGAGGCTCCACTGCCTTACTTGGGTAAGGGGCTAGGGGGAAAATGGTAAGGAAAAAGGGGGAGGAGCCAGAGGCGGAAAGAAAGGAGCCGACAATGAATGAGGGCAGCACCAGGAGTTGTGTGGATGGCCTGAGGATAGTAAGCCTGACGGCTAAGAGTCCAGAGAAGGGAATGGAAAGGAAAAGTGATACCAAATGAGATACTAGGACACATCATACAATCTCAGATCAGGACCCTAAGCCTTTAACTACCCAACCAAATGGATAGCTCTGGAAGGTGGACAATGAGGTTCCTTCCTTCCCAGCATGGCCTTGAGGGTGGGCCACCAGCCTAACCACGAGGAACTGAAGTCCAAAGCTCAGACAGTCCTCATCTATTTGGAGTCAGAGAGGCCCTGGCATCAAGAGGGCTTTCGTGGGCAAATATGAATCCTCTAGGAGGCTAACTGCATCAGAATCAACAGAGGCAAAGCTGGAAGACAGACTTCAGATCCGATTCAGATTCTTCAGCTGACAAATGAAGAAACTAGAGCTGAGAGAGAAAGTAAAGGGTGCACAATAACAAAGCCAGTTAGGAGCAGAAAACGGAATTAAGAATTAAAGTCTGTCTTACCAATGAGCTTTTAAGTGTCTTAAGAACTGGGGTTCATTAAAATTCAATCAAATATAGCTAAGTTGAAAACTTCAAAGTAACTTTTTTCATATGGGTTTGGCATTTTTTTAAGTTTAAATTTAGAAATGAAGAATAATAACAGAAAAGGTAAAATATCTAAGAATAAACCTAAGACTATCTAAGAACAGAATATCTAAGATATCCAAGAATATCTAAAAATAAAACATGAAAAATTTCTATGAAGAAAATTCTAAAATATTATTTAAAGAACACAAAGACTTAATTCAATGGTAAGTTTTATCTTATTCCTGGACAGTAAGAGTCATCATAACGGTGTCCTTTGTCCTTAGGTTAAATTTATAAAAATAATGTAGGGCCGGGGCGCCTGGGTGGCTTAGTCGGTTAAGCGTCCGACTTTCGCTTAGGTCACGATCTCGCGGTTCGTGGGTTCGAGCCCCGCGTCGGGCTCTGTGCTGACTGCCAGCTCAGAGCCTGGAGCCTGTTTCAGTCTGTGACTCCCTCTCTCTCTGACCCTCCCCTGCTCACGCTGTCTCTCTCTCTCTCTNTAAAACATAAAAAAAAAAAAAATAAAAAAAAAAAAAAAATAATGTAGGGCCAAATAAGTAATAAACGAATAGCTGTGGAACTGGATAAAAGCTGATCATAAAATCAGTAGCCAGGAAATTTGTTAAAAAAAAGAATAAAAGGGAGTACTAGCCCCATCAGCTATTTTAAAAACATTATAAAGATAAAATAATTAAAATAGATTTGTACAAGAAATATATAAACAGGTGGATCATTGGAAAAGGAGAATCCAAAAAAGCAATCCAAATACATACAGAAATAAAGTAAGAAAAGGTAACATCTCAATAATGAGGCATGGATTGGGACAGCTGGGTTGCCATAGCTCTTACACCTTATACCAAGATAAATTCCAGCTTTAAGGTATTTATACAGCTTTAAGGAAAAAAAGTGAAACTTCAAAAGTACCAGAATCAAATTCTGTTATAAATTTTTATGAACTTTTTTTTTCTTTTTTTAAATGTTTTATTTATTTTTGAGAGAGAAAGAGACAGTATGAGCAGAAGATGGTCAGAGAGAGAGGGAGACAGAATCCAAAGACAGGCTCCAGGCTCTGAGCTAGCTGTCAGCACAGAGCCCAATGAGGGGCTTGAACCCACGAACCGTGAGATTATGACCTGAGCTGAAGTCGGACGCTTAACTGACTGAGCCACCCAGGTGCCCCAAATTTTTATGAACTTCTAATGAGGAAACAACTGTTACTCAAATCTCAGAAGCCATCAAAGAAAAGTTTGATATAGTTGATTCAAAAATTCTGAAAGTCAAAAGATGACAAAATAGGTACAAATATTTTTAACTGTTCTCACAGCTGATACAAAAACGTGTCTACAAAAAGCCTATACAAACAAGTAGGAAAACAATCAACCATCCACAGAAAAATGGATAAAGGACATTAACATACAAGTCAAAGGAAAAAAATCTTTTTTAATTAGAAAAAAAATTTTTTTAACGTTTTATTTATTTCTGAGAGAGAGAGTGTGTGTGCGCGCGAGCAGGGGAGGGTCAGAGAGAGAGGGAGACACAGAATTTCAGTGAAGCAGGCTCCAGGCTCTAAGCTGGCTGTCAGCACAGAGCCCAACATGGGGCCTGAACCCACAAACCGTGAGATCATGATCTGAGCCTAAGTCATACGCTTAACCAACTGAGCCACCCAGACGCGCCCCTCTTTTTATTTTTTTAAATGTTTATTTTTGAGACAGTGTGTGCGAGTGGCAGAAGGACAGAAAGGGAGGGAGACGCAGAATCTGAAGCAGACTCCAGGTTCTGAGCTGTCAATACAGAGCCTGATGCAGAACCTGAACACACAAGCAGTGAGATCATGACCTGAGCCCAAATAAACCAACTCAACCAACTGAGCCACCCAAATTAGATTTTTGGGGGGCGCCTGGGTAGCTTATTCAGTTAAGCATCTGACTTTGACTTAAGTCATGATCTTGCAGTTTGTGGGTTTGAGCCCTACATCATGCTGTCTGCTGTCCGTAAACAGCCATCTTCGGATCCTGTCTACCTCTCTCTCTGCCCCTGCCCAGCTCATACTCTCTCTCTCAAAACTAAATGAACATTAAAAAAAAAAATCTAATTCTTAAGTAAAAAGATGTTCAAATCAATCACTAAAAGAATAAATTAATGTAAAGTACTTGAATTTTTTAATTTTTTAATTTTTTATTAAAAACAATTTTTTAATGTTTATTTATTTCTGAGAGAGAGAGAGAGAGAGTAGGGGAGGGGCAGAGAGAGGGAGACACAGAATCTGAAGCAGGCTTCAGGCTCTGAGCTGTCAGCACAGAGCTTGATGTGGGGCTCAAACTCACCAACTGTGAGATCATGACCTGGGCTGAAGTCGGACACTTCACCAACTGAGCCACCCAGGCGCCCCATAAAGTACTTTAATATGAATTAATGTGAAATAAAACCAACTAATAATATGCAATACATGTTAGCATTTCTAGTTTTGGGGACTACATATAAATATCAAGTAATTCTTTTCTTATTTAAATGATATCTACACCCAACATGGAGCTCAAATTCATGACCCCAAGATCAAGAGTGAGATGCTCTACCAACTGAGCCAGATGCCCCTATAAATATCAAGTAATTCTTTATACATTTATGAACTGCCTGAAGTTTTTCTAATAAACATTTACTACTTCGATAATAAAGGTGCTATTCTCATAAAAAACTATTTATAGAGCATAATTTTCACTTATATATACCTGTATATGTGAATTCCAAAATATTAATTAACAGTGGTTATCCCCAGGTAAAAATAATAAGGGAAATTGTTTTCTTCTTTGTGATTTTTTGCATTTTCCAAATGCTACAAGTATGAAATTTTTAAAAATGCATTTAAAAATAAATTACAAAATGGCTATACCAATGGACTATTGTTTCACTTATCTGAAAAGCAAAGATATATTCTGATTAATACCCTGTACTGAAAAGGTGCCCATAAGACTGTTCTTTGGTACAGCCTCCAGGGA